CTACAGAAAGCATTTTTATGCTAAACATTGCAGATCTGCCAAAAATAACAATGCACACACAATTAATGACATATATAGTGACTAAAAGATACAACAGATGCATGCATGTGCATATGATGTATTATGTACAGTGCTTCTAATACGGAAAATAAGAATACAACCAAGAAATTAAAAGGAAAAAAGGGGGGGCGGGGGGGGAGTGCAGAAGGTGTCCCTGCCCATGGCAGGGAGGTGGAACTAGATGATCTTTAGGGTCCCTTCCAACCTAAACCATTCTATGATTCTATGAATTAACTGTGTACTTATCCCTAAACTATTTAGAGCTGCAATTGCAGCCATCTTTATAAGAATGAACCAACCATGAATCACAATGTTCTTACTGTTGGGAATTTGGATATGAAGGAAGAACAATAATGCCAATACATCAGAAGCCCTATGGGCAACTGTAACGTCACCCTTATAGATTAACACAGTTTCTCTCCTTGTACCAGTAATAAACACATCATGGGAGAATACTCAGTTGCTGCTGGTTATTTATTTTACAAATAATAATTTTGTTTGCATGGCAGTTAGTTGGAAGACCTACATCCCTTTAGTTAGACACAGCAAAACAATACAAATGGTTACCTTGTCAAAAGGTTTACCAATAGCGTTTTCTAAAGAAAGATCTTCTACTTCAAGAGCTGGATTATAACGTTTGAGTTCTCTCAGACATGCATTCAAAATGTCCAGGATTGAAGTCTGGATTGCAAGCATAGCAGGGGTCATTGACACATGTATTTCCACCACTTCAGGTTTATGCTTCTCTAAAAATGAGTTCACTGCTATATGAAATCTAAGAGGAAAACAGCTTATTAAGATTTACATGGATGGTTTGCTTGACCTACAATTATTCAAAAGTTTGTATAAGCTACAATTATAATTGTTTTCAACATAAACAAGTAAGTTAATTGCAAAATAAATCAGTTTCTACAGATGTGAAGACTGCAATCTTATGAACTGCCTCAGAAAACCATCTATTCCACAATTATGACTGTAGTCATTCTAGTCACGCAAGCCTACATCGTGCTGCTGAATGATCCATGGAAAATTACTGCACTAGATTCTACATCATTGTTACACATAACAAAAAGTAAAACCCAAAAAATCTCATAAGGGAGAAGCTGGAATTGTTTCATAAATCCTTTGGAATTACATGGATCCACTAGCAGTTTCCGTGACATTCCTAGCTTCCGATTAAAAGCAGCAGGTCATTGTTAGAACACTGCCCTTATAGCCAACCCGGGCTGCACAGGTACATAGGTGCCAGCTGATTTTTACTAACAGAAGGAGGCCCAGAGAACGCTGTGTCTGCTGACCTCTGAAACTCAATGGGCATTTCCTTTACTGCATGCTGCGCCCCCAGGCCTTTTCATGGTTCGGAAGCCAAGGAACAGAATTTACAGAGCTTCTAATTCAACCTTTCCTGTCCTAGTTATGTCCATTTCTACTTCTTTGTGATACTGAGAGACAGACGGTTAAAGAGTTTACAACACAGAGTAAGAGTATGTTAAGATGGAGTGAAACACATTCTAGACTGGACTGAAGGAACAAACAGGCGGACCTTCTGCCTAAAGCAAGAGCACTGAATGGGTGATCAGCCCAGTTCCTTTTGTGGCTCTGCTCCCGAAAGACTTAATGCATGTCACAAACTTGGCAGTTTGGTTTCTATCAGCCATCAAGAAATATTCTTCATACAAAACATAAATGTAAAGGAAATAAAAAAAATCTGACATGTAGAAAGAGATCCATGAAGTTTCATCACAGTTGGAAACAAATACTTCACAAATGGCAGAACTGAGAGACTGTATTCCTGTTACTTTGTGACATAAATCATCTGTTTAATAAGTGAAGTTTTTCTTCAGCTATTAAGAATGCCACTTTCTGCTATGATTTCTATTGGCTAAAAGGACAGCTATATCATAAGGTTTGGCCCCTTATAGATTTAATTTGGGTCTATTTTCCAAATTACTTACAGAAATTTAGCATCTTTAAGACCACTTCTCTCAAAAGCTGAATAAAATTTGTTTATGAATACAAGAGGGATCTCAGATTAGCAGTGTGCCTGCATATGCCTCAGTTTCTTAGGAACCCATTGTAACATACTTCATCTCTTTTTTAACTCTCCAATGAAGTAAAGAGGTGCCTTACCTTGGCCACAGATAAAGT